CTCCGTTCTGCCCTAACATTGACTAGTCGCTGACGGCCACAATTTGCATGTTCAGACCCAGATTTTCGGCTGACAGTCCAGTCTCTAAACACTTTAACAACAGCTGCTCTTGAACATTTAATGAATTCTGCTGTTTTGCTGATACTCGCTCCATGGCTCCGAGCACCAACAATCATTCCACGTTCAAGGCTGTTAAATCGCGTTGTTTACCCATATCTTCAGAAAAAAGCCCTTCTACTGTCCTGGTAAACAACCTGCTTCTATTTATAATGGTCTGGCCCTCCAGCAACTTCAGCGCGAAATTATAGCTAATTATAGCTAATTTGCCTACAAATGTCAGGTGGTCATAATAATCCGGCCACTCAGTGTATATGTATATAGATGATGTTCACAGAAGTGGGCAGGGCAGTGGCTCAGTGGTTAACACCGTGTCCCTGCTGTGCTGGTGATTATTATTATTATTATACGGGATTTATAGAGCGCCAACAGTTTGCACAGCACTTTACAATATATGGAAGACATTACAATCACAATACAATTCAAGACAAGATGGTAAGGAGGGCCCTGCCCCTGAGGGCTTACAATCTAAAAGGGAGAGGGAAGTGATAGATGAGGAGGGAGCTGTGTGGGGATGAATTGTTTGAGAACGTGATGGTTCAGTGGTTAGGTTGAGGTGTGATAGGCTCAGTTTAGGGCTCAGTTCCAAGCAGAGACATTTCCTGGACATTTCCCCTCCTGTAATCACTGCTGTTCTCTCTCCTTGTGCAGCCACTGTGCCCGTTCAAGTGAACGCATGTAATCGCACAAGGAATGATTACGAGTATTTTTCTGTACTTGCAGGAAATATAATCAACGTTAAACTCTGGAAACGAAAATCTTTAATTTAAAATATATTCCGTAATAGCAACAAAGGACATAAATCCATGTTATGTGCTACTTTGTAGCGCTGACATCATCACTGTGTTCTAGATAGTCTGTGCAGAGAGCAAAGCTGGGGGAGGGACCCAGCTGGCTCCACCCAGTACAGGCTGCCTGCAGAAAACTAGAACTCCAGACACACGGTAGCTTGTTGATTGTTTGTGTCTAGGTTGAAAAAAAAAAAAGTTATACTCACCTGATTCTCTAAGACGGCTGGTCCTTCCAGCCTCTGCCATATCTCTCCCCCCCCGCGGCAGCAATCTAAGTTCCCGGAGTCATCACGTTCTAGAGGAGGAGACAGACTGGAGGGAGCGCTGCCGCCGCCAAGGATTGGTTGAGTATAACTTTATTTCCTAAATGAGCAGTTCAATCTTGTAGTTTGGGGGTAAACCCACTGCTAGGGCTAATACAATCTGTGCCCAAGGTTCTGCTCTGTGCGAATGCAGCCTAAATCTGCCAGACACTGTACAGTAAGCATGTGCCTTGTGTGCCGCACTAAAATGAGTATCTTTCTGCTATTATACCTGGAGATAGTAGATGACAATGTAAGTCTATAGTAGAGGAGATAGTAGATGACAATGTAAATCTATAGTAGAGGAGATAGTAGATGACAATGTGAATCTATAGTAGAGGAGATAGTAGATGACAATGTAAGTCTATAGTAGAGGAGATAGTAGATGACAATGTAAGTCTATAGTAGAGGAGATAGTAGATGACAATGTAGTCTATAGTAGAGGAGATAGTAGATGACAATGTAAGTCTATAGTAGAGGAGATAGTAGATGACAATGTAAATCTATAGTAGAGGAGATAGTAGATGACAATGTAAATCTATAGTAGAGGAGATAGTAGATGACAATGTAAGTCTATAGTAGAGGAGATAGTAGATGACAATGTAAATTTATAGTAGAGGAGATAGTAGCTGACAATGTAAAGTGATGGCGTGGATTGACAAGAACGTGTAATCTGCAGTTTTCCTTTATCATTCCCCATTGTGTGGCCCTATACAGAAACATGGATGTACGATGCCGGAAGATTTGAAGAACTTTTACTTAATGACAGATGGCTTCCTGATGAGCTGGTCTGTGAAGCTGGATGGTGAGTGAACTATCTATAGAGCAATCCCTGCACTGCCTCTGCTCCAGAGCACATTGTACAAAACACCACACCAAATGAATGGATTGGGTTACACAGAAGAGAGTGCTCCTTCCTTCCTTCCTTCCTTCCTTCCTTCCTTCCTTCCCGCAGTTCCACTCCACAACGCATACAAAGTTACTCTTCTGATGTCTTACCAGTTACATCAGTTATAGCAATGCTAGTTCCTTTGGCATCATCCACCACATCCTCCTCAACATTCAGAGGGGAGGAAGACTTGTGTAAGCCCGAAGTCACATATCAGAGCTCATGCCTTCCCTTCAGTCTTCTATCTGACCTCCGTCCTTACCTTCAGTCTTCTATCTGACCTCCGTCCTTCCCTTCAGTCTTCTATCTGACCTCCGTCCTTCCCTTCAGTCTTCTATCTGACCTCCGTCCTTCCCTTCAGTCTTCTATCTGACCTCCGGCCTTCCCTTCAGTCTTTTATCTGACCTCCGGCCTTCCCTTCAGTCTTTTATCTGACCTCCGGCCTTCCCTTCAGTCTTTTATCTGACCTCCGGCCTTCCCTTCAGTCTTCTATCTGACCTCCGGCCTTCCCTTCAGTCTTCTATCTGACCTCCGTCCTCCCCTTCAGTCTTGCACAATTGTACTGGCTCCTCTTACTCTGATGTCACTGCATCAGCTTCTCACAATGTGCATTAGAAGCTGCAGCAAGTCAGCTAGAGCTTCACGTAATTTCCTGGCTGGAGGCCGTCCAGCATCATCTAGCACTTTCCTCTCCAGCCGAAGTCTCCCTGGCTTACCTTTTTCAGTCATTGCATTTCAGTTGTTTCAGTCAGAGGTAAAGCATCACAGGTGGGGGGTAATCTGGGTCTATCTGCATGCAAATGCATCCTGCCTCGGACCTCCACTCCTCCAGACTGACATCTAACCATTAAAGTATTTTGATATTTGCATAACTCTTCCGGAGTGCCAGCGCACTGCTTGCATCAGGTCTGAGGGCATCCTGGGGCATGCTGTGATGGTTTCAGGAAGCTACGTACAGCACCCTGTCGGCCATGATCTGCCTTTATTGCAAAGGGAAACACAGAGACCCAGTGGTGACATTGCCGGGTCTAAAAGGTATGTGATGAAAACAGAAAGGTTTTTCTTAAAGAAGAACTATGGGGTCAGGGCTTTTCCCAATAGTTCTCCTAAGGGTAACGGGAGGACACAAACTAGCGTCCTCCCGTCACCCTAAGCTCAGTATACCGCGAGCTACAGCTCGCGGTATACTGAGACGCCGCAGCCAGCACGGATCCTGACATTACTGTCGAGATCCGCCCAGCTGCGTGAGTGACAGCTGGCTCTGCCTATCTAGAGGCAGAGCCAGCTGTACCCGCCCCCTCCCCCGTCCGTTTCTCCAGTCAGCGCTGGAGGATCGGAGGGGGGAGTCCCTGCAGGGAGCCGTGAGTGACAGTCACGCCTTTCTGCAGGGAGATGATCGAGAAGTGAGCGAGCCACGGTATGTGTTCCCTCACCTCCCGATCTACTGAGCCAACCTGTGACAGTCTCATTGTCACAGGTCGGTTAGAACTATGAGGCTGAGTGATTTTCACTCGCCTCATAGTTCTCCTTTTTAAGTGTCATTAGCATGTTGATGATGCGTCGGGGAGGAACCAAGGAAAGCAAAATATAAGCAGATTCAACTTCAGTTTTATATTAGAACAGTAAAAGGAAGCCTAGGAGCGGAATGATATGTGATATTGGTCTGTGATTGTAATGAGAAAACAAGGCGCTTTATTTTTCTTTACTTCTAATTGGAAAGTGTCCGTCTTCTATATCTGGAATAAAGAAATCTTCTTTTGCTTTTAGACAGTCCCATCCAGGTTGGCACTATGGCCATTAATAGCATTTCCAATCTGACCCAGCTGAAAGGATCCTCTGCCCATTCAATGCCTAACTCACCGACGTTGGAGGACTTGGATGACAGCTCCGACGAGGAAGGTACACGTAGCTTGACATGAGGAAAACTGTATTGTGCTGTATATAATCTCCATAAGAACTGGACTCTAGGCATATACACTGAGTGGCCAGATTATTATGACCACCTGATGTTTGTAGGCAAATTAGCTATAATTTGGCGCTGAAGTTGCTAGAGGGCCAGACCATTATAAATAGGGAAGCAGGTTGTTTACCACGACAGTAGAAGTGATTTGTTTCTGAAGATACGGGGAAACAGCGCGATATAACAGCCTTTGAACGTGGGATGAGTGTTGGCGCTCGGAGCCATGGAGCGAGTATCAGCAAAACAGCAGAATTTGTTACATGTTCAAGAGCAGCTGTTGTTAAAGTGTTTAAAGACCGGACTGTCAGCCGAAAATCTGGGTCTGAACGTGCGAATTGTGGCCGTCAGCGACTAGTCAATGTTAGGGCAGAACGGGGGAGGGGCAAGACTGGTACAAGACAACAGAAGGAACAGTGGTGGTCAGATTCCTCGCATCACCTTTCATCATCCCGTGGAGTCACGAGGCGGCCCAACCAAGTACTGATGGGGTGGTCATAATAATCTGGCCACTCAGTGTGTGTATATATATATATATATAAAGGACTTTTAGTTATGTACATGTGCTGTAATTCTGGAGGAGGCTCAGACAGTGTTCAGCCTGGAGCAGCCCGCCTAGTATTTTTATCAATGAATAGTAGACATTCATCACGGCGCCCCCATTGTCCAATCAGAGAGCATCTAGTGTTTATTAATAAAAATATAAGGCATTCACTGAATGACCGCTGTACCAAGGTAATAGAGGGAATGTCGCTCAGCATGACAGCAATACCAGGACCCAAATGATCGCTGTAAAATCTCTGGCTACTACAGTGCTTTACAGGCTCCCCATTGCCCTGCCGGGTATAAAATATTGGCCCAGCTGGATCAATATAAGCATACATAAAGATTTATACCTCGAGTTCTACTTTAAAGCCTATCATTGGACACTTTCCCCTCAAACCCCCCCTCCTCCCACATATTCAGTAAATACCTTCTGAAGCTGTTTTAATTCCTGTTAAAGCAGACCTTCCCCCTCCTTAGATCCATTTGCAGTTCGCCTTTTTACCATTTCCGCTGTTTAATGCTGGAGAAACATACTTGCAAGCCCAGTGACTTGTGCGTCGTTCTCTGCTGCTGCACATCCGAGCCCGAGCTGCAGGGCACAGCGAGATCTGGTGCCGGGACATATACTGTACTGTAGTAGATATGTTGCCAAGGTGTCAGAGTGAGATGAATAAAATAACTGCTGAATGAAGGCGCTTCCTCTCGGGATACGTGACATACATATTCCAAGACGCTGCAGGAGTAACCTGAAAACGTCATTCGCGCCTAGGTGAGAATTTAGGAAGGGAGAGGTTTAAAAAAAAAAGCATTGAACAGGAAGGTCCAATGTTCGCCGCTCCTCTCTATCTGTGATGCCAGGAGTCCTAGCTAATGGATCCACAACTGCGGCCAACCGGCCACCTTTATCTGGCATCATCTCTCCCCTCCAACGTTCTGTTTGCTGAGGGGACTGACTTCCAATAGGCAGTGTCCACTTCACCCAGGTAGTGATGTGCACTCTGGAAGAAGGACCCCCCAGTGAAGAAGGTAGAAGACTCAGGACAAGGGTTGGGGGGTAGGAGAGTGCCTGAAGTTCAGTGTGCAAGAAACACTGGAGGGGAGGGGGGGGGATTTATCAATACTGGAGCAGATTTGCACTGCAATCAATTAGCATCTCTGTCTCATTTTCAAATCTTACCTGAGCAAACTGAAGGGAGATGCTGATTGGTTGGTTGCCATGGACAACTGCTCTAGTTTCTGTCTGCCCAAGTTTTGATAAATTCCCATCACTGTCCTTAGGATAAATGTATCCTAATGGCATTGTCCCTTTTTTAAAGTCACAATAAACTCAGGAGGTAAACATTAAAAAAAGTACCTTAACTATTAACAACTATAGGGGGAATTTATCAAACCCGGAGCAGACACAATCTGGAGCAGCCGTGCATGGCAACCAATAAGCTTCCCTCTTTAGTTTGTTCATTTACTATTTGAAAATGAAAGCTGATTGGTTGCCGTGCACAACTGCTCCAGATTCTCTCTGCTCCCGTTTTGATAAATCCCCTTGAATGTATCTTATTTGTTGACAGGATCGAGAGGTGAGCGAACGCCGGTATGTGTTCGCTCACCTCCCAATCTACTGAGCCGACCTGTGACAGTCTCATTGTCACAGGTCGGCTAGAACTATGAGGTGAGTGAAAAGCACGCCCCTCATAGTGCTCCTGTAAGGTACTTGAATGCCTTTTTAGGTTTATCTCCTGAGTTTAGTGTCACTTTAAGTGCAGCACAGGAGAAGTCTTTATGCAAGAACAGAAAGTGGCAGTAAATCTGATGACCTTCCAACTCACCTGCTTTTCCTTCTCCCGTACATATTTGGGGGGAAAAAATCAGGGGAGGGGCTGACCCGTGGAATCCTCAAATCATTTTATGATGTCGGATAACAATAGCGTGTGAAACATTCTACAATGTATTAACATCCATTTCAATGCTTAAGCACATCCGGATCGGCCGCATTTTGATTCCAGGAACGTACTATTTGAGTTGGACCCATGTAATGGGAATGGGAAGGTCTGTCTGGTGTACAAGACCACCAAACCAGGTGAGTGAGAAATATTATGCATATATGTCAGTGAACAGTTGTCAATTGTCGATTTTTAGTTCTACCTTTCACTTGCTGTCTTTTGTGAAGTTTTGTACAGTGATCACAGTTAGTTGGTGCAGAGCTCCGGTTGGTTTCACGACTCAGGTTGGTGGCTCATAAGAAGTAATTGTTGGTTTTAAAATTCCATTATGCATGGTGAACATAGGAAAAGGGACTGGCTGCAAAACCACAAATCCAAATATATTGCCAATATGTGGGCTTTATATCTTTTTGGCTACACCTGGCTGTAGACGTTTGTGTCTCCGCCCCTCCCACAAGAACTCATAGAAAGTGCCAGTCCCCAGTTGTGTCTTTATTAAACATTATGGAGAATCCATCAGGGGAGTTCCATCTACATCAAACTGGAACAACCATCTATAAGCAGGGGTGGGGCATGCAACACATGCCGCACCCCTCGGACACTCGGCCCATCCATCACCCACATATACTGTAATGGTGTTTTACCATCTCTGCCCTGGCAGTTTGACAGTTCACATCTTCAGCCATATAACTTGGATCATTACCACCTGCCCAAGACCTTTGCCACCATGATGATTAGATCATGGAAATAAAACACGGTGGTTAACAAACCTTCACACCTCCCATCCTGTTCTTGGACAATTGACATCTGCCTTGACACATTCCGTGGGGACTGGACGAAGGTAACGGAGGTACCTGTGTGGCTATAAATGCTGGGTTATATTCCTGACACTCATTAGAACTGAAGAAGCAGATTTTATAAGCAGCAAATTATTAGGGGCCCATTCACACTGGTGGAAGGCATTAAGCATCGCACCAGTGTGAATGTGCCCTAAATGTGAGTCACCACTACTAGTTCTACCATGACCTGGGTAAATGACAAACTTGACACACATCATGGCATTGTTGTACCATTTGTTTGGCTTTGTAACACCTTTTCTGGTTGGAAAGAACCAGAAATTGCAGTAGACATATCTGACCACTGAAGTCCACAAGAGATGCCACCGAACACAGAACATTAAATATCAGTTTTGGGCGGTGTTGACCTTAAAAGTTGGAATCTCAGTGCAAAACATGAACCCCCTTCCAGCCTCTCTAACCAATCCTGCATTTTATTTCTTATCTTGTAAAGCAAGATATACAGTGGTACCTCGGTTCACAAACTTAATTCGTTCCACGATTCTGGTCGCAAACCGAATCAAATTTCCCCATAAGGTTCAATGTAAATAAGATGTATCCGTTCTGACCCCTGCGAACGTGGTCGCGAACTGATTTTGGTCACGAACGGAATCAAATTTTTCCATAGGGTTCAATGTAAATAAGGTTAATCCGTTCTGAGCCATATGTAAACATTTTTTACCCCCATGCTTGCTCTGCAGTTTCTTGTCACCTTCATTACCGCTCTGCGCATTCTGGTTACCTTCATTACCGCTCTGCACGTTCTTGTCACCTTCATTACCGCTATGCACTTTTTTTTTACCACCGTGCTTGCTCTGCACTTTCTTTGGAGCCATGCTGGATTGAATAATACTGTACAGTACTGTGCTAAAAAGCACACAAAAAAAGCTTCACAGCAAGTGTGCACAGGTCTATCTGCAACCGCGATCTAAAGGAAGCCACGACCAAGTGTCAGAGCGGGGAAGATGGCCCTGGTTGTGTTCGTCACCCGATGTGGAGTTCGCAAACGGAAGCAAAATTTTGCCGAACTTTCTGTTTGCGAACCGAAGCGTTTCATGAACCGAGGTATTACTGTACTCCTCTCAGCCCAACATCTCAGTCCCTTGCAGTGGTCATTTTTGGGTACGGGGAACCGCTAATCCAGCTCTGCAGATGTGCCTGTGCCAACCAGTCCCTACAGTCCCCTTGCATTGACCTCACTTCTCTTCTTTATCCTGAGAGAACCACACCACTGGACAGCCAATAGGGAAGTCATCGGACGAAGAAGGACCCCGACTCGTAAACAAAAAAAAGAGGAGACATGACTTGGGACTTGAGGAAGTCTTTAATTGAGTAGAAGGGGCATTTCTTTTTTTATTTTTGCCAGTGATCAGTTACAGGGGGATTGGGGAAAGGGGTGTGGGGGAGATAGGGGAAGCCCAGAGATGGGCTTTAAAAGTATCCTGAACTTTTTAATGTATTTATTTATTTTTGCCTAATGGAACTTTTCTAATCGTCTTCCCGATGCCAAAGACATATTTATTTCCATATGTGGCAAGTTAATTAATGGATCGGTATTTCTAAAGGTTATATTAATCTGATACGAAAGTAAGAGTTATGCTGCTAGTCTGGAGCTTGGGGTGTAAATCTAGATGTTTATACCGTTCTTATTGAATTACTATATATTGCTTGCACAGAAATCCATATTACATCTTCAGCAGCGCTGTATATTCATTCTGATGGATCCAAACTTACAGCCGGCCCTGGCGCTGATAGTAATTACTGTGCGCCCAATAACTCAGATGATATATTGTCCTCAGTGTGCCCCTGTGCGCCGCTCACCACTGTCTATGCCATGAATACAATCCGCCTGAACACCCAACCAGATAATAACACACGAGCGCTGTTATATAAACCTGTGAAAGAGAGAGTGTCTGCGGTGCCCCTCACTAAGCAACAATGGCAGCCGCTCAGATCAATTTATAACTGGCACAAGGAAAGGTATGAGCAGGGCAATACAGAGGGCATGGCAAAGATTCCTTAGCACTCTCCAACTAGACCAAAAAAGCCCTATTTAAACTGTTTTAAAAGTTGATATCTAGGCTTCCGCTATCCCAACCTCCCTGTGACTGATCACTGGCATTATCAAGGTTTATTGTTTAAACCTTTTAAATCCCCTTTTTTGCTCACCTATAGCCGTGGTCATGTGACGCTCCTGTCCCAAGTGTTAACTCTTTTCTACTTAAAGGAGGTTGTGTCCTTCTTAGGATGTCCATGTCACTGCATGGTGATGCAGACACGTCCTATTGGCTTTCCAGCGGCGAGGTCCTCTCGGCATCCAGGAGAGGAGTAACACCAATGCGAGAGAACTGTCGGGGACCCGGAAATGGTGCCGGCGTGGGACCTGGATGGTGGATGAGTATGTCTTGCTTTTACAAATGAGATAAAAGCAAAAAATGCAGGATCGGTTTAAAGGGACTGGGAGTTTAATATCTGCCCAGAGTTAGAGACCATGTCAGGTCTTAAAACAAATCAAAACAGCACTCCTATGCAGTAAGAGAGGTAATATACTTACCTCTGGAGCCCATGGCTCTTACCGCTATTAATCTCCTCACTACAGGACACAGCAATGGCATAGGGGTCAGAGGAAGAAAGCAAATCACGCGCCGGGGGACACAGAGGCCAACGAAGACTACAGTGATGAAAAGGAGTGGAGGTAGGAGACAATGCCTCTTCTATTGCAGGGGACAGCTGTTTTGATTTGTCTATAATTTAAAAAAACAGAGGGTTTTAGTTGCATGCATTTTGCAAATGCCGTTGAATCGGTACTGCCACGTTGAGGAACCTCTATAAAGTGCTGAAGGAGTTTGGGGGTCTGTGTTGAAGGGATATTGACAGGTTTTGCAGTGCCATACAAGTCAGATGCAGGTCAGCACAGTGCAGGGATGGTGGGAGCCGCTCATAAAGGCCATAGCAGGACCAAGAACTCAGCCCAGGGATGGTGGCATCCCCTCATAGTGGGCAGAGAACATGGATCAGACTCAGGAGTTCAGTGCAATGATGGTGGAAGCCCCTTGTAATGACCACAGCAGGTGTGCAGACCCTGGAGTTTAACGCAGGCATTGCGGGGAACTCTTATAATGGGCATAGCAGGTATGCAGACCTGGAAACGCAGCACAGGGGTGGTGGGGAGCCCTCATAGTGGGCACAGCAGGTGTGTAGACCCAGGAACCCATCACAAGGGTAGCAGGAGCCCCTCATAATGGGCACAACAGGTGTACAGACCCGGGAACGCATCACAGGGATGGGGGAGCCCCTCATAATGGGCACAGCAGGTGTACAGACCCGGGAACTCAGTACAGGGATGGTGGGAGCTCCTTATAATGGGCACAGCAGATGTACAGACCCGGGAACTCAGCACAGGGATGTTGGGAGCTCCGTATAATGGGCACAGCAGGCGTACAGACCCGGGAACTCAGCCTAGAATTCTCACAAGTAGAGTCCCTGAGAGATAGAAGTAACTGTCAGGGGGGATAACTCCTCAGCATCTACCAGCAATATCCGTTTTGAGTTAAGTGACTCTTGATGTTTGTATGTATGCTCCTTTACTGAAAGCCTTCCATTCCCTTACCTTGTGATTCTCAGGAGAGGTGATACCTGAGCCCAGCATCTGGTTCCTGGACCGAGCACTCTATTGGCATTTTCTTACGGACACCTTCACTGCTTACTACCGGTTACTCCTGTGCCACCAGGGGCTGTCACAGTGGCAGTATTCCTTCACAAGTTACGGCCTCAGCCCACAAGCCAAGGTGAGTTGGAGTATAAATTCAACCCGCTGTCCTCTAATATCCCTGGATAGTCCCTTTAACAACTGCTACTATGCTCCTAAAAACAACTTATGTCTATCATTGGGCAAAATATCAAAACCCCCACGTCCCTCTAACAACCCATCCTGCATTTTTTTTGTCTTACCTTGGAATGAAGATATACTTTATATAGTTGTGTCCCTTGTTGGCTCTGTTTCTGGGTGTGGTGGACCGCTAATCAAGCACTGCAGATGTGCCCCTGCTGGGAAGTCTCCAGCAATCCCCCCATACTGATGTCACTCCTCCTCTGGATCCTGAGAGGACCCTGCCCCTGGACAGCAATTAGGAAGTGTCCATGTCACACAGGCAGTGACATGGACACCCAAAGAAGTAGCCCGCCTCCTCTAAACATAAGACAAGAGAAGACTTGGGACGGGAAGGTCACATGACTGCGGCTTTAGGTGAGTACCAAGTGTTTGTTTTTTTTTTGGTAATGCCAGCAATCAGAAGGGGGGCGGGGAGGGGGATGATAGGAATGGGCTGTAGACCACCTATAAAGAATAAGTGCACTGGTAAAAGACGTCATCTGATGGAGCAAAAGGGAAAAAATACAAAGTTTAGCAGGAAGTCTGATGACTCAGGGCTTAGTGATTATAGAATCCATACTAGCCACATCATCGGCCCCTATTCCAAGAGGGGAAGTCTCTCACTTTGGAGAAGCAGCGCTTGAATTTAGATGGAAGCATTACAGTAGGTATACCCATACAGGTTGTGTTGAGAAGGGTGTAAAGCAGGGGTGCCCATTCGGTCGATCGCGATCTACCAGTCGATCGCAAAGTGAACGCTGGTAGATCGTGATCAGCTGTGTCCTGTCTTCCCGCGGTGCGGCTGCCGGCTGAATGTGTCAGACGCCACAGACGGGAAGGGGTGGGACACCTCTCCCCGTCTGCGGCCACACGAGCACCGCGGGAGGACAGGACACTGGCGCACGAGAGGAGACCTGGGAAGCTGCTGCAGTGGAGGTAAGAAAAGACAGACAGGAGAGAGACAGCAGAGAAAGTGAGAAAAAAGATAGCATACAGAGAGAAGAGAGACAGCAGAGAAAGAGAGAGAAGAGAGACGGCAGAGAAGAGAGATGGCAGAGAAGAGAGACGGCAGAGAAGAGAGACGGCAGAGAAGAGAGACGGCAGAGAAGAGAGACGGCAGAGAGAGAGAGAAGAGACGGCAGAGAGAGAGAGAAGAGACGGCAGAGAGAGAGAAGAGACGGCAGAGAGAGAGAAGAGACGGCAGAGAGAGAGAAGAGACGGCAGAGAGAAGAGAAAGTGAGAGAAGAGACCTCAGAGAGAGAGCAGAGAGAAACAGGGGAGAGAGAAGAGACAGCCAAAAGAGGGCCGGTTCACACCACAAAGTCTGCGTTCCAGAGTGTTCAGCCTCTAGAACGCACTGGAACACAAGTCGGCCGGCTCCCTGTGTTCAGGGGCGGGAGGGGGCGTTGCATTCAAGTCAATGGCCCACAGTGTGATCACCTTGCAGCATTTTTGCAGATCGCACTGGACCAGAACCCAGGCACTAATGCCTGCGTTCCGGGTGCGGGCCATCGCACTGCGGGCGGAGGTGTGGCTGCGGTGCCATTGCCTTCAATGCATCGCCACGCCCCCTCCTGCCCCTAAATGAAGGTGCATTTGAAAAGTAAATCTCCAGATGAAAAATTGTGGGCCCCCGGGTGTAAAGGAATCAAAAAGCCCCCCCACCAAATCAGTGTGTAGCAAAGTAAAGCCATCTTAGAACAGAAAAAATTCCTATGTCTCATTCCATCACATATCCCAAAAATAAGAGCATTAGTCCTCATTTCAGGACAGTGGGCGGGGCCACGCAAATCATTCCTTTATGGCCCATCAGCCTGATGGACTAGAAGAAAGCATTAGAAGCCTAACTAAGACTCTAACTTTTTATTTTATCTTTACAATACATAAAATAGTTTTTAGTTTCGGCTTTTCTTTCCAATCCTGACGCTTCTCCTGATTCTCAGACATACCAAATGTCATTTCATTGATATCCAGCGATGATCTTCCTCTTTTGTGACAGCAATGGATGAACATGTACAAACCCATCACCTTCAGCCCCACCACACTTTCCGAGGATCCTGAAGCTTTCACCAACAAGCTGGATCCGAACAAGATCTTCAAGAGCAAAAACAAAACTCCGGTGACCAAGAAAAAACTTCCCGGCCCACCTGCCGCCCAGAAGTCAACCCTCACCCCTTCCAAAAACCCAGCGCCGCCAGGGGCGGCGACGCGAAAATAACACCTGAAATGACTGGCTGCTGTCCTGACCTCTTCTACATTAGGTTTATTTATTTAATTGAAAATAATGATACAAAACCCTGAGTGGTCCGCACCCCCTAGTTAGTAGAATAAGAAAAAAAGATAATACCGTCTTCGTTTTTTATTTTTTTGAATGTACATCAATCCACACTTATTTATGTACAACAGTCTACATGTATTCATGTACAAAAATATGGTGATCAGGGGTGCCGTACCTTTCCAAGAGAAATTTGCTAACCAATCATTGGCCAGAATGAGCGAAGCGCGCTTTCACTATGGATTCCTCACAGGCGGAGTCCATTTGGTATCACTCCTCCTGTGACAGGAGGCGGCACTATAGAGGAGGCGTCGGCTTATGCGGCTCTGCTCCCTCCGGTGCCGCCTCGCTTCCTCTAGCGCTGCCTTCGTTGACACCGCTGATTCTCTCCTGCGGCTCTTCAAGTTCCCCCTTATGCCACCACCGGCCCCGGGAATGGTCATAACTAGGTCTTATTTTCAGGGTAGGTCTTATTTTCGGGGAAACAGGGTAGGTGGTGCAGACCTCCGCGATCGTGCGGTCCTGCACAATGCAGGCAGCGATTGGCGCGCAGCCCCATTGATTTCAATTGGGTGACATCTGCGCGGCAATCGCAGAAAAAAGGTACATGTACCTATTTTGTTTTTGCGATACACGATGCTCGGCTGTTTTAGTGTTTGGAAGCATGGGCGGAATCGCGGCGGGAAACCGCACGATCCGACTTGGGTGCCATTAGAAAATAATGGCACCCACAGCGCGATCAGTTCACACCTTGGCGACTCCTGACCGCGAGGCATAGTGCACGATTGCCGCGCGGTGAGGTGTCGCCTAGGTGTGCACCGGCCTTTAGGGTGCTAAATGACAGAGCCAAAAAGGATCTTTACCTCATAATTGTATAAAAGG